AACTGAAAAGCAACAATTCTTCTTAGATCTGTCAGAGATTTGAGCTCACAAAGCAAATCGTGTTCCCAAAATTGGAGAGACAGACAGGTAGATACAGAGAATCACAACTTGTTGGAGTAGAAACCCACGAGCAGAAACCTCCAGAGGAACCAATGTGGGGTATGGAAATCTGAATTGTAATTGATGAATTGCTGAGGCTGTGTAGACAAGTCTGAGAGTTAAAAACTCCACAGGAAACCCAATCTTGGGGGGGGGGGAACCCCACATTTTTGTGAGCTTACTTTCCTGAAAGACCAAGAAAAATGTCCCTTCTCACCATTTCTTTTCAACATCATACTGAAAGTCCTAGCTAATGCAATAAAAAAGGAAGTATTACAGAATGGGGAGGAAGTAATAAAATTGTTTTTGTTTGCAGATGACATGATTATCTGTGTAGAAAAATCTGAAAGAAGTAACTAAAAAAAAAAAAACCCTCCTGGAACTAATAAGTGGTTATAGCAAGGTTGCAGAACACAAGGTTAACATAAAAGTCAATCACTTTCCTATATACCAGTAATGAGCAACCGAAATTTGAAATTAAAAACAGAATACCAATTGGAAAAAAAAAACACCCCACCAAAAACACCTTCACAGTATCATTTTACATTAGCATCCCCCCAAATGAAATACTTAGGTATAAATCTAACAATATGTGTGTGTGTGTGTGTGTGTGTGTGTGTGTATCTATATGATCTAATGGAAACCACGAAACTCTGTTGAAAGAAATTTAAAAATAACTAAATAAATAGAGAGATATTCAATGTTCATGGATAGGAAGGCTCAATGTTGTTAAGATGTCAGTGCTTCCCAACTTGATGTATAGATTCAATGCAATCCCAATTGAAATCCCAGCAAGTTCTTTTATGGATATCAGCAAAGTAATTCTAAAGTTTATATAGAGAAGAAAAAGACCCAGAATAGCTAATACTATATCAAAGAACAAAGTAAGAGACTGACACTACATGATTTCAATTTTCACTATAAAGCTACAGTAATCAAGATAGTGTGTTAGCGAATAGACAAATAAATGGAACAGAAGTAGAGAGCCTAGAAATTGACTCATATAAGTAAAGTCAACTAATCTTTGACAAAGGAGTGAAGGCAATAATATAATGAAGCAAAGATTGTCTTTTCAACTAACAACGCTGGAACTGGGCATCTAAGTGCAACAAATGAATATGGTTACAAATCATGCACCCTTCATAAAAATTAACTCAAAATGATCACAGACCTGAATGCAAAACACAAAACTATAAAACTTCTGGAAGGCAAAATAGGAGAAAATCTAGAAGTCCTTGGGTTTGGTGATGACTTTTAAAATACAATACCTAAGGCATAATCCATGAAAGAAATAATTGATAAACTGAACTTCATTAAAATTTAAAACTTCTGCTCTGA